TCATTGACCAAAACATCGAAAACATCGTTATATGCCTTACTTTCTATGCATTTCTCGTAATCATTCATTACAATCAACCAATTATTGCAATCATATGTAAAATGTTAATAAACACAGAATATTCTGTAAATATATTCCTAAGAAATCATAAGAATATGTGAGCAATAAATTACAGAATCCTATATTTTACTAAAAGTGCTGTTATTTTAATTTTAATACACGTTTAATACTAACAATCATGTAATAAATCAATCATTAAAAGACACAAAACATTTAATATGAAATAAAATCAAAGTTTAAATAAAACTTTAAAACAATTGAAGGCATAAATTGTGGGCAAAGAGTGAGAGGTTTTGTGTCCAATGAATGGCACGAAATGGAAAGCATTGGAAGTATTGGAAGCGTTGTCTCCATCTGTCGGACAATTCATTTCACTTTCACTCAAATGATTGAAAATAAAATCAATGTTTGACTCAATTGTTGTAATCATTGAATGTTTGTGTGATTTAAAGTGCAAATAGTTTTGGTCTCAATTGATCCCAACCGACACCCGAGTGGACACGTGTTTCGCACCAAACGATGGCCGAAGACTACGAACTCCTCTTCTTCGACACCTTCTCGCAGACCATGTGATTTAAAGTGCAAATAGTTTTGGTCTCAATTGATCCCAACCGACACCCGAGTGGACACGTGTTTCGCACCAAACGATGGCCGAAGACTACGAACTCCTCTTCTTCGACACCTTCTCGCAGACCGACGGACACGAAGTATGACTTCATTTCTCATTGTCTTTCACATTACCATTCAATCCGATTGTCATTTCGCTAATTGTTGTCTTTAATTACCACCGATTGTCTCACCACCGAAAATAGGGACCAAATCTGGGTTTAGTTCAGTTCCCGAATCCGATTATAATCAAAGAGATTCGTGTCATACCATTGGGCGCCAGAGTTGAGGCCGATTTTCCCGGCGGTCTTCGCCTGGGGTTTGTATTTTGCAATTTGTTTAACCATTTAATGTTGTCTTTAATAATGGCGTCAATTAATGTCTTCATTGAATGGATGTGTTTGACAACAGAGCGACCAATCCGTCATCGTTTGAGTTGGAGTTCTTCATCAATGATCTGACGAAAGGAAACGCCTGTACTTTCTTAGACATCGGATGGTATGAATGCTACCAATGATTGACAATCACTTTGTGGTGACATTTGTGTCTTTATTCGTGCCATTAGTTTGGATTACAAGCAAAACGTTAGCATAAAGTTTGTGCCCAAAGAGCTGATACCGACCGATGGACTCATTCTTCGAGGAATGTACAGCACTCTAACCCTTTCGGTGTTCGGATGTATTGCCGACATCTCTCGCATCATAGAGGAGGACACGACACAGACATCGGATGTCGTCGCCGACCATATCATCAAAGAGGAGACCACTTTTGTCAACGAATTACATGCCATTTGCCCTCCAATTAGTGATAAGATTTGCGACCGAATCGATGAACTAAATGTGAACCAAATTATTAAGACTTTTGTCGAAACGGCTGACGACTCCTATAAGACTAGACGATCGCCTCCTCCTGTTGTCCACAAACACGACCGACGAGAGAGTCGGGCCTCTTCTCAGTGCAGTGACAACAATGATCGCCGAAAGCGAGACAAACCCATTGAGACTATTACTCAAAGAAGTAGTAATCGGCGGTCCAGAGAGAAGCCATACCAAAGCAGAACTCCTTATGTGTCCAAACATAGGAGTCGTAGTGGAAGCAAATCCAAGAGTAGGAGCACAACACCCAACTCATTGAAGCGACGTTACGGTCGTCCGACCACTTCCGCGCCATTTGACAAATCGCCCAAACGGTCGCCAAAACGGCAGTACAGATCTCCTCCGCGAAGACATCGATCGCCATCGGGTTCATCGCATTCACCGCTACACTCAATCAAAACCATATCAAACTCATCGCTATCTCCGCCATCGCGTCCGCTCTCCCGCTCCCGACACCGATCTCTTACCAAATCTCCACTTTTGACGCCTCACCACATGTTTGAATCCAATGATATTAAACGCATTGCAACAGAAGTGCAATCAGTGGACGACTGTGTGAATTATGAAGACTTTGAACCGCTTTCACCCGAAGACATACTTTCAGAAATTGCCGAAAAGATATCAGACGACGAAAACTTGGATCAAATCATCGGAGAAGACGCTCACTCTGACAGTCACTCTAAGGACGACTTGGAAGAGATTAGCAGCGAAGAGGAATACGAAGACTTTCCATCGATCGCTGAAAACGACTTAATGATGGATTACTCGGAATACGATCTCAACCCATACGCAGACTTCGGCACTTTTAATCCATTCCAGTGTGAGTTCACATCATTGCAGGCACTAAGAGATCCGTCGCTTTCGGCCTTTGAATTGTCTCTAATCGGAGAGACATATGATTCGGGAAATGAGCAAAAAATCATTGAACTAACGAATGGTGTCGAAGATATACGAAACGACAAATGGGTCGAAGCCATGGAACAGATATCAATTGAAGTCAATAAGAGATCCATTAAAGACGAATCGCTTATAAAGACATTGATTGAGTTCGTTGTCGACGGCATTGATTTCGATTTAGCGATGAAACAAATGATTACCGCTTATAAAGTGCGGCACTTGAAGGCCGGCATTAAATTATTGACAGCACTCTCGCAAACCTCGGAGGATATACTTAAGAAAATTCTTGATCTCAACATTACTCACACATTGCTTCAACTGTATAACAGGCCATACATGACAATACCGGTGCGATTGTTGATCATTCGGGGCATTGATGTCATCTGCGACTGGTCTTCAGGTGTCGAGCATATGATTGATCATAAATACGCCGAAAGTGATCCTTCGGGACAAACGTGTTATCAATTATTGCTCGACTTATTGTTGGAGAAGCCGTCGACACGAATAGTGGTGTCGTTGACATCGCTGTTAAGAAAGATTCATTTGTATGAAGTCTTGAGATTTTTATCCAAAGCGAGTGATGAGTCAAATACGGAATCTTCTAACGAGGACTCAATTGCCATCTGTTTGAATGAGATATCAACCACTTATAAGAACTCAACCAATTTGTTGAGTCAACCGTTTCGGTCGCTGCCGGCGACCAAACAATTTGAAGTGAAGACATCGCCTTTTGATTCCCATAAAGCAGTTTATAAATACTTCAAACGAAACAATATTATTGATTGTTTAACAAATATTCTGATGGGAAAGACTTTGTGTACTCCCGAAGCCTTTGACAGCGCTTTGGATTTATTGAACTCAATGTCGAACGCGAGCCATGGCTTAAGGTTTCTTCTAAGCAGTGATACAATCAATTCAACCAATAATTTATGTAAAGTTTTGACACAACAATGCGATGAATCGGAAACTCCGCTCCAAAACATTGGACTCAAACTCATACACAGACTACAAGTTTTGCAATTAATTGATTTGATTTTTGCGTTTCATTCAACACAAGAGAGATCAAAGTGTTTGTCCATTAAAGAGAACTTCGATGATCCCGATCTCGTCACCACTCTTCACAATCTCTATACAATGCTGTTCACTGGTATCGGCAAAGACGCTGTCGTTCATGTGTTGTCCTCTGAGAACAATTTCGACGCAATCATACCATTCATCTCTTTGGCCAACGATAAGATAAAAGAGCCGCTGATGTCTAAATTGGTTTCGTGTGGATGTGCTCTCGAACTCTCTTTAGTTACTCTACAACTCATTGACGTTAATCTCATGAGTTTTCTGGACTCTTACGGACAGATATTGTTGAAGATTTGTGAGAACGAGTCGATCCCTAAACTACAGGCCATATCAAACTGGTTGACTCCCATCAGAAACCTCTCATACAATCTCTATAATGAAAATACATTTAAAACTCTAATGTCTTTCGTTACAAAGCATTACGAGTCGGTCCGCGAATCGGCTGACAATTCGTTGTTTACAATAAGTCCAGAACTGATCACTTCATTAAGAATCCTTCAATCTCTATGTCTACCGTCTGAGTCGGCCTCAGAAATGGATATTCAACTGAAGCACAGGTACGCAATCATTCAGATATTATCATTGGATGGTTTGTCGCAAATCCTGTTTCTTCTCAACAAATTGAGTGAAACCTATTTAAAGCCTTCGCATCAAAGTTTCGCTCTCATTGGAAACCAGGGCTCTCTTGTCGTCAATTTTGTGAAGCCATCGGTTCTCATAATTAAATCTATTGTAACATATTTGGTGTCCGCTCGAGGAATAGACTTCACAGACATCTCTCCGATTCCCGTATTGATGAGAATATATTCAGTGCTGGCATTAGTGCCGACATCAGCGCCAACACAACTACTGATGGCATCGATTGCTCAACAAATTCAGTACGAAATCAGTGAAATACTTCTCATTTACACCGAACTGTATATCAGTGGCAGTGAATCGGACGAAGCCATTGGTAAAAGCGTTTGGACTAAAATGGCTAAACACGTGATCGATTACACCCTCTCATCGCCGCTGGCTTTTGTTCACGGGCTCACACTCTTGTCGGATGTGTTGCCCCAACCATTACCACTGCTGGTAAAGCAACCGATGCTCAGTCACGAAGTGCTCAAAACGGTTAACTTCAGAAAGTTATGGTCACTACACCTGCATGTGCTCAACGATCGCATCGAGACATTGGTCTCCAATTTCATAACAAGTAATTCACAACCGATTCAAATGTTGTTGAAAAGAGTTTGCATCCAATTGTGCGATCTGTCGGTCCCAACGGTGACCACTGTTACCAAATCTATTTTCGACGAATTGCTCTCAAGTCTCGAAACGTATCACTTCTCGACTAATGATTCCCGAAATGTTGCCATTTGTCCGACGGTTCGCATTTTGAATGTCATACAAGACTTGTCGACAAACATTCCCTTCAGAATTGGCTTTTTGTCTCATTTAAAGAATTGTAGCCAAAAACCCGATAAAAGTGCTCCCATTTTAACAAGACTTCAATCTGTTATGAATAAATCGGTTCAAATCAATTCAAACGAGTTCTTAACAGTAAGCTATTAATAATTAATGTCTATTAAGTTTACTAACAATTGTTAATTTTGAAACAGTTTATACTTCAGTCCAATCCAGACACTGATGTCGTGACAACTGAGACCAATAATGCGGACACAACTGATAAAACTGAAAATAATAAAACCGAAATCAATTCAAATGAGAACAATGTGTTAAATACAGAATCGTTAAGCGATTACTTCGCCAGCCGTTCGGTGTTTGTCTTAGAAGACGAGCCGTTAGTTCCCGAATGGGTAAGGCAATGCTTGCTGCTGAGCCTGGTTTACCTAAACAGCCTGCGGTAATTTTAACTAAATTACCTACAAAGCCGGTTTATAAAACCGGATCTTAAGCTGTAAGCTCGCTTAGAGCTTTTCAATACCACAGAACCGATGAATGAGTCGCAGAGCAAAGAGAACGACGTTTCCGAGAAATGTCTGCCGATGCCATACATCAGAAATATGCCCAAAGATCCCATGATTATGAGTAAACGAATACAAGCGCCGCGGGGTAGGGGTGGGCGACAGTTCACACGACTCAACGACCCGTTCCGGTCGCGGCCGCCCAACACATCGCGCCCGCCGTCTATGCACGTCGACGACTTCATAGCGCAGGAGCGCAACGATTCCGGCCCTAAACGCAACAACAAAGACTTCGGCCGTCAGAACCGCGGTATGAATCCGCCGCTGCGCTCGTTTGGCCCAAACCAGCGCTCGTCCAACGCCAACAACTATCGGCCGCAACCTTCGGGCGCTCGTAATGCCACCGATCGGTACAATTCGCGCGATTTGTACGGCATGTCCTCAAATCGGGTCAATAAATCGGACGCAAATCTACCGCTTCGGTGGACAAAGATTAGTGGAAATCGGTATGACTTTCGATATCCACAGTATTCCCGATCGTTTGCCCGATAAATACCTTATATTTATAATGTGTCTATAATTTAAAGAAAATATTGTAATATATATTTATCAATAAGTGTTTCTAAAAAAAATGTTTGCAAACCTAAACCTTTTGTCTGATAATTAAAATTCAATTGTTTAGTAAATTGTGATCATATTTTTATAAGACTTAAACACTTATTAATTTAAACCAATTCAGTGTTGTTTAAGTTGTATTTACAGTTAGATATATGGATAATAGGGTTTCAATCATTCATACAAATTCAGGTTTTATTAAATAGGAACACAAAATGGTCAACAATAAGATTCAATGCAAAAACAAACAAAAAGAATATAATTTAAAATATACAGTAATTATATAATGGTATCATTAATGGTAATGTAAGTAATACTTTATAAGTCAGAAATAGTGTGTTTTAAGTAATAATAATAAGTTTACGGTCTATTGTTTTGCCAATAGACTGAATAATCACAATCATCACTCATTTGGTCGTCCATCGGATCCTCGCTTTCGACAAATTCCACATTAAATGCGTTTAGAATATAGATTTGCCGTTCGGTGTCGAGTCGTGTCCATCGCGGGTACACATTCAATGTGTAACCGGTGTTCA